TTGAATTCGACATATAATTTTTTTGTCTCTTCGAATGTAGTCAAAAATACTCACAGTTTCTGTCATTAATTTTGAGAGCATATGATTGTTAGTCATAGTGCTTAGTATTCAGCCACATAATTTTTTTGGGTTTTCAAAGGTTCTTGTATTGCTCTGGCTCTTCAGAAGGTTCTGGACGCCATTTATTACCTTTGGAGAGTTTTCTGCTGGCCTATCTGTCTCTATCTTCATCTTGTGTCTGGCCCTAGGCTCTAGTACACGATGACTATGGCAGCCAGTCAGTAGTACCACGAGCAGACTCAAGCACCTATGTACGGGGCTGCATGTATGTGAATGCAGTTTTGGCACACACACGGTACTCATGCTGATAGTTACTTATATTACTTCGTTCATAATGAGTGGGAAACCTGAGGTCATATATATTAACTGTGTACACAATATTTTTATCTTACAGAAGCTAGTGTCGCCCATCATCATCACCTGTGAAATACGTGATTATCAATCAGTACCTAGTATAAGAACAATTTCTTTAACCTGTAGTATCAAGTAAATCGGCTACACTGGAACATGATGTATTGTCGACTGGAACAGATGGGATGAGATAGCTATGTGGCTGGATCCGGCACAGTCGACTTACTTCCTGACTCCACATTCTGGGAGACCTTTAGTTTCTGTTGCAAAGTAATCTGTGAAGGGATTTGCATAGGTGGTATAGCTAGCTATATATCTCGTATGATACGAGATCAATACATACATTTGCTCTTGTTAGACTGACTTATCACTAATAGTAAGAGGCCAAACGACCCGCACATGAATCCAGACTTCATGAGGAACTGTAAGAACGCCAGCTTTTGTCACGCGCATGCACACAATTACGCGCAGTGACGCGCAAAAACCGCTCTACGGCTAGAAAGTCTTCTGCCGGATGTGGTCACACGTCCTTTTATCTTAGTTCATTGAGCGTATATTAGTATGAGACAAAGATGATGCTATGTAAATCAAGAGTGCTGTATCGATGGATGGAGCGGACCAGTCAGCTCAATGCACAGTGCCAATTCACTCTGTAATAGAAAACTGATAACAACAGAACATTAGGACAATAGCTGGAGAAGTGACACTGATCCAGAATGCCAGCAAGGAATAGTGAGAGGGGGGAGGCAGTATTGTTTATGTAATAGAAATACACTTCAGTAAACATTGGCTACAGAAGAAGTCCATAGCGGTTGGCCTTACTTACCCACTCGGACGTGCTGCATAGACAAAGCGCCGCCGCGAGGGTATGTATACATACGGTAATATACCTCGCGCGCATGCGCAGCGAGTTATTACTGTAGTTGGGATTTGTCTGTGTGAATACTGTGTGGTCCGGTTACTCTCAATCTCACGTCTCGCTAGTGTTTGTTCGTCATCACAGAGGCTACTGTAACGGTGCGCATGAAGGTCAGAAATTTACAGAACGGTTTTCTCTTAACTGCTTTTTGTCCGTAGTGCAAGCTAGAGCGCGAAGAGCCACATATGCACGACGGGACTGATGGGCTGGGTTTAGTTTAGCGTCACAGTCAAATAATCGTGAGATACAAATACTTACAGCATCGCGCAGAGTCGGACGCGGGCTAACTACCTACTAGATAGCATGCTGAGAGGCAGATACACGCCCTGCGCGTTATCCATCGTCTGGTGCCTCCGAGGTACGCAGAGCACGCGGAGCGCATCAGACCGCGGTAAGAAACTGCCGCAATTAGTGGATACGGCTGCTTACAGACGTAAGCAGTCACAGTGCCGCCGAGGGTTTGCCTTTCAAGTGGGCACACCCTCGCATCCGCGTATACCAAAACACTAATTGTCAGACCAAGCGCTTAATGATACAATCTCCACTCACAGAGGTTGTGGTGGGATGTGGGCATCACACGGACAAAGTCTCTTCCACCGATCACACCCTGTGACCAGATCACGCTCCGATAGATTCTGCGTCCTTCAACTCCAGCCGGAATCGTGTGAAAATGTGTGTATCATTGGATCGTCTGGTGGGATTTATAATAGGAAGTTGTGTGAATCTTTAACCATGCGTCGTTGTGGTTTGACTATCGGAACTTCTTCCTAACGACATTCTTTACCGGGAGAAACTGAGTGTTCAGTGTGCGTGCACTAGTGTCGGGATGGTTCAGGCAGTGCTATCGAACCTCTTCGAACCGTCTCGACCACATCACTAAGCATGGATCAGAAGGTGTGGAGAGTTTGGCCCTCTAACATGAGTTCGGTGTGGGTACGACTATACCGAACCTTCTCTAACTACATTTACAGGCTGAGAAATATGAGTGCAGGTGATGTGTGCACAGTGCATCGAACTACATTTTCGAACCTTCGCTCGACGCACAATCACCACATCACTACTGCAGGGATAGGAGTTTACGTTACATGAGTTCGTGTGGCGTGTTCTGACTGCGCCCGAACCTTCTCTAACTACAGTGTGTTACATGAAATGAGTGATGTAACAGTTACAACAGTGTCAGTTTGTAGTAAGTACACATACGATGACTAATTCTATAATCGCCACCGCGCCAAACATACTAACCAGCATTACCACAGCCAGACACGTGAGCCTTTTGTTCAGGTACAGAGCGTTGTTCACAGAGAGAGGAGCAATACACGCACGAGAGAGTGTTCAGACATGGTGCAGATCGAAAGACCTGGAACACACCGAGGCAAACTTTGCCATATCTTCCGTGTCGTAGGTAGAAAGGATTAATGCTGTGGACAAGCTTGTAAGTTTACACATCGTCCTCTTCGAGGGTGTTCTTGGAAAAGAAAATTATCTCTTCCAGCTACAAATTTTCACCCTTTAAGGTATTAATTTTTATAAGCTGAAGAGTGATACTTGTAAGACATGCGACTCCCTTCAGACACGTCTCACAGCTGAAATGTGGTGTATTGCGTAATGTTGTATATCTGTGCGTCTGTGATGAGCAACAAATTTTTTTAAGCCTTGAATGTGAACTGGAGCTGCATAAATGCACCTCAACACCTGTATTACACTACCTCAAGTTCGCTGAAAGAGCTTATTATTTTTTATCTTTTACATTCGAGAGAGAGAGAGAGAGAGAGAGAGAGTGCCATCGAACTCACCTAAACGGCAGTGGCTTATTGCCTTTCAACGGCACGGCAGAAGAATACACACAACCGCTTCAGACACAGACAGAGACGGGGGTCCAGGCGGGCGACGCTAGGCCTAAGGGGTGTGAAATTTCTATCACACAGACGATCACGTGCATTAACCTGAGTTTATGGTGTGCACTGCACTATGTTAGTGCACAATCACCATTACTTCCTCTAATGAGGCTCGTAGTGAGGATCAGGACTGTCCTACTGCACTGGAATCCTTCCTGGTTCGACTATACCGAACATTTTACAGGGTAAGCAAGGTGTGCATGGTGATGGGCACTAGTTCGGGATTGTTTAAGCGCATCGAACCTCCTACAGTCGAACCACCCCGAACTCATGTGAAAGAACTCTACACACCTTCTATCGCTGCGCTGATGTGGTTCGAGGAGGGTTCGATATGCTTGAAACCACCCGACTATGCATAAGCACCCTGCACACTTGTTTCCCTGTAAAGATTAAGTAGAGAAGGTTCGGCACAGTTGAACCACCCCGAACTCATATGACACTCTACACACCTGCTATCTCTGTCATGATGTGGTTCGATATGCTTGAACCTCATCGAACTAGTGCATATAGCACCCTGCACTCCTTATATCCCCTGTAAAGATGTAGTCAGGTAAGGTTCGGTCCAGTCGAACCACCCCGAACTCGTGTAAAAGAACTCTATAAACCTTGCTATCTCTGTGACGATGTAGTTAGAGAAGGTTCGATGAGGTTCGATGTGCTTGAACCTCCCCAAACCGGTGCATATTGCACCCTCCACACCTTGTATCCCCTGAAGAAATGTAGTCAGAGAAGGTTCGGTACAGTCGAACCACCCCGAACTCGTGTGAAAGAGTCGGAGAAGGTTCGGTTCAGTCGAACCACCCCGAACTCATGAAAAAGAACTCTATATACCTTGCTATCTCTGTGAGGATGTAGTTCGAGAAGGTTCGAAGAGGTTCGGCGTGCTTGAACCACCCCGAACTAGTGCATAAGCAACCTGCGCACATTGTTTCCCCTAAAACGATGTAGATAGAGAAGGTTCGGTACAGTCGAACCACCCCGAACTCATGTGACAAAACTCTACACACCTTGCTATCCCTGTAATCATGTGGATTGGGAAAGTTCGAGGAGGTTCGGTGTGCTTGAAACACCCCGAACTAGTGCATAAACACCCTGCACACCTTGTTTCCCCTGTAACGATGTAGATAGAGCAGAGAAGGTCCATCCCGAACTCGTGTAAAAAGAACTCTACATACCTTGCTATCTCTGTGAGGGAGAAGGTTCGATGAGGTTCGATGTGCTTGAACCTCCCCGAACCGGTTCATATTGCACCCTGAACACCTTTTATCCCCTGAAGAGATGTAGTTGGAGAAGGTTCGGTCCAGTCGAACCACCCCGAACTTATGTAAAAGAACTCTATATACCATGCTATCTCTGTGAGGATGTAGTTCGAGAAGGTTCGATGAGGTTCGATGTGCTTGAACCTCATCAAACTAGTGCATATATCACCCTGCACTCTTTCTATCTCCTGTAAAGATGTAGTCAGAGAAGGTTCAGTCCAGTCGAACCACCCCGAACTCATGTAAAAGTACTCTATATACCTTGCGATCTCTGTGAGGATGTAGTTACAGAAGGTTCGATGAGGTTCGATGTGCTTGAACCTCCCCGAACTGGTGCATATTGCACCCTGAACACCTTGTATCCCCTGTAAAGATGTAGTCAGAGAAGGTTCGGTCCAGTCGAACCACCCCGAACCCGTGTGAAAGAAGTCTATATACGTTGCTATCTCTGTGAGGATGTAGTTCGAGAAGGTTCGATGAGGTTCGATGTGCTTGAACCTCATAAAACTAGTGCATATAGCACCCTGCACTCCTTCTATCTCCTGTAAAGATGTAGTCAGAGAAGGTTCGGTCCACCCCGGACTCGTGTGAAAGAAGTCTATATACCATGCACACCCTTAACACCTTGTATCCCCTGAAGAGATGTAGTTGGAGAAGGTTCGGTACAGTCCAACCACCCCGAATTGTGGTGAAAAAAGTCTTGATACCTTTCTATCTCTGTGATGATGTATTTCAGAAGTTCGATGAGGTTCGATGTGCTTGAACCTCATCAACTAGTCCATATATCACCCTGCACTTTCTTCTAGCTCCTGAAAGGTGTAGTCAGAGAAGGTTCGGTCCAGTCGAACCACCCCGAACTCATGTAAAAGAACTCTATATACCTTGCTATCTCTGTGAGGATGTAGTTACAGAAGGTTCGATGAGGTTCGATGTGCTGGAACCTCCCCGAACCGGTGCGTATAGCACCCAGAACTCCTTCTATCTCCTGTAAAGATGTAGTCAGAGAAGGTTCGGTCCAGTCGAACCACCCCGAACTCATGTAAAAGAACTCTATATACCTTGCTATCTCTGTGAGGATGTAGTTCGAGAAGGTTCAATGAGGTTCGATGTGCTTGAACCTCCCAAAACCGGTTCATATTGCACCCTGAACACCTTTTATCCCCTGAAGAGATGTAGTTGGAGAAGGTTCGGTACAGTCGAACCACCCCGAACTCGTGTGAAAGGAGTCTATATACCTTGCTATCTCTGTGAGGATGTACTTCGAGAAGGTTCGAAGAGGTTCGGCGTGCTTGAACCACCCCGAACTAGTGCATAAGCAACCTGCACACATTGTTTCCCCTAAAACGATGTAGATAGAGAAGGTTCAGTACAGTCGAACCACCCCGAACTCATGTGACAAAACTCTACACACCTTGCTATCCCTGTAATCATGTGGATTGGGAAAGTTCGAGGAGGTTCGGTGTGCTTTAACCACCCCGATCTACTGCATCAGCACCCTGCTCACCTTCTTTCCCCTGTAACGATGTAGTTAGAAAAAGTTCGGTACAGGTTCGAGGAGATTCGATGTGCTTGAACCACCTTAAACTAGTGGCTAGTAGAGGTTCGGTGTGCTTGAAACACCCCGAACTAGTGCATAAACACCCTGCACACCTTGTTTCCCCTGTAACGATGTAGATAGAGTAGAGAAGGTCCATCCCGAACTCGTGTAAAAAGAACTCTACATACCTTGCTATCTCTGTGAGGGAGAAGGTTCGATGAGGTTCGATGTGCTTGAACCTCCCCGAACCGGTTCATATTGCACCCTGAACACCTTTTATCCCCTGAAGAGATGTAGTTGGAGAAGGTTCGGTCCAGTCGAACCACCCCGAACTTATGTAAAAGAACTCTATATACCTTGCTATCTCTGTGAGGATGTAGTTCGAGAAGGTTCGATGAGGTTCGATGTGCTTGAACCTCCCCGAAACTGTGCATATTGAACCCTGAACACCTTGTATCCCCTGAAGAGATGTAGTTGGAGAAGGTTCGGTACAGTCCAACCACCCCGAACTTGTGTGAAAAAAGTCTATATACCTTGCTATCTCTGTGAGGATGTAGTTCGAGAAGGTTCGATGAGGTTCGATGTGCTTGAACCTCATCAAACTAGTGCATATATCACCCTGCACTCTTTCTATCTCCTGTAAGGATGTAGTCAGAGAAGGTTCGGTCCAGTCGAACCACCCCGAACTCATGTAAAAGAACTCTATATACCTTGCTATCTCTGTGAGGATGTAGTTACAGAAGGTTCATATTGCACCCTGAACACCTTTTATCCCCTGAAGAGATGTAGTTGGAGAAGGTTCGGTCCTGTCGAACCACCCCGAACTTATGTAAAAGAACTCCATATACCTTGCTATCTCTGTGAGGATGTAGTCCGAGAAGGTTCGATGTCATTGAACCTCATAAAATTAGGGCATATATCACCCTGCACTCCTTCTATCTCCTGTTAAGATGTAGTCACAGAAGGTTCGGTCCAGTCGAACCACCCCGAACTCATGTAAAAGAACTCTATATACCTTGCTATATCTGTGAGTGAGATTGAGAAGGTTCGATGAGGTTCGATGTGCTTGAACCTCCCCGAACGGTGCATATTACACCCTGAACACCTTTTATCTGAAGAGGGAGTTGGAGAAGTCGGTACAGTCAACCAACCCGAACTCGTGTGAAGAGTCAGAGAAGGTTCGGTCCAGTCGAACCACCCCGAACTCATGTAAAAGAACTCTATATACCTTGCTATCTCTGTGAGGATGTAGTTCGAGAAGGTTCGAGGAGGTTCGATATGCTTGAACCTCATCGAACTAGTGCATATAGCACCCTGCACTCCTTCTATCCCATGTAAATATGAAGTCAGAGAAGGTTCGGTCCAGTCGAACAACCCCTGAACTCGTGTAAAAGAACTCAATATACCTTGCTATATCTGTGAGGATGTAGTTCGAGAAGGTTCGATGAGGTTCGATGTGCTTGAACCTCCCCGAACCGGTTCATATTGCACCCTGAACCCTTGTTAAATACCCCTGAGAGATGTAGTTGGAGAAGGTTCGGTCCAGTTGAACCACCCCGAACTCGTATGAAAGAACTCTATATACCTTGCTATCTCTGTGAGGATGTAGTTCGAGAAGGTTCGAAGAGGTTCGGTGTGCTTGACCACCCCGGACTAGTGCATAAGCACCCTGCACACATTGTTTCCCCTGTAATGATGTAGATAGAGTAGAGATGATGTAGTCAGAGAAGGTTCGGTCCAGTCGAACCACCCCGAACTCGTGTAAAAAGAACTCTACATACCTTGCTATCTCTGTGAGGATGTAGTTACAGAAGGTTCGATGAGGTTCAATGTGCTTCAACCTCATCAAAGTAGTGCATATAGCACCCTGCACTCCTTCTATCCCCTGTAAAGATGAAGTCAGAGAAGGTTCGGTCCAGTCGAACCACCCCTGAACTCGTGTAAAAGAACTCTATATACCTTGCTCTCTTTGTGAGGATAGTTCGAGAAGGTTCGATGAGGTTCGATGTGCTGGAACCTCATCGAACTAGTGCATATAGCACCCTGCACTCCTTCTATCCCCTGTAAAGAGGTAGTTGGAGAAGGTTCGGTACAGTCGAAACACCCCGAACTCGTGTGAAAGAACTCTATATACCTTGCTATCTCTGTGAGGATGTAGTTCGAGAAGGTTCGATGAGGTTCGATGTACTTGAACCTCATCGAACTAGTGCATATAGCACCCTACACTCCTTCTATCCCCTGTAAAGATTAAGTCAGAGAAGGTTCGGTCCAGTCGAACCACCCCGAACTCATGTAAAAGAACTCTATATACCTTACTATCTCTGTGAGAATGTAGTTCGAGAAGGTTCGAAGAGGTTCGGTGTGCTTGAACCACCCCGAACTAGTGCATAAGCAACCTGCACACCTTGTTTCCCCTTTAACGATGTAGATAGAGAAGGTTCGGTACAGTCGAACCACCCCGAACTCATATGACAAAACTCTACACACCTTGCTATCCCTGTAATCATGTGGTTTGGGAAAGTTCGAGGAGGTTCGGTGTGCTTGACCACCCCGGACTAGTGCATAAGCAACCTGCACACATTTTTCCCCCTGTAATGATGTAGTTAGAGAAAGTTCGGTACAGGTTCATACTGTCTTTTGTCATCTGTGTTTCTACTTTTATTTGTGTTCTACTTTTGTCATTTGTGTTTTATCTGGTATCTAATCGTTTTATCTTGTTTTTTATTCATCTGCAATGAATAACAACATGAATAACATATTCTCAAATGAATATACAGTTGAACCATCCCGAAGTCGTGTTATCTGTGTGATGTGATGATGTTCTCTGTGATGAGTTCAGTGGTTCGACTCTACCGAACCTTCTCTAACTACATCTTTACACTACATCTTTACAGGGGATAGAAGGAGTGCAGGGTGCTATATGCACTAGTTCGATGAGGTTCAAGCACATCGAACCTCATCGAACTACATCCTAACACAGATAGCAAGGTATATAGACTTCTTTCACACGAGTTCGGGGTGGTTCGACTGGACCGAACCTTCTCCAACTACATCTCTTCAGGGGATACAAGGTGTGCAGGGTGCAATATGAACCGGTTCGGGGAGGTTTAAGCACATCGAACCTCATCGAACCTTCTCTAACTACATCAGAAGGTTCGGTCCAGTCGAACCACCCGGAACTCATGTAAAAGAACTCTATATACGGGGTGGTTCAAGTACACCGAACCTCTTCGAACCTTCTCGAACCACGTCATTGCAGAGATAGCTAGGTGTGGAGAGTTCTTTCGCATGGGTTCAGGGTGGTTCGACTATGCCGAACTTTCTTATGCACTAGTTCGGGGTGGTTCAAGCACACCAAACCCCCACTAGCCACTAGTTTAGGGTGGTTCAAGCACATCGAACCTCCTCGAACATGTACCGAACTTTCTCTAACTACATCGTTACAGGGGAAATAAGGTGTGCAGGGTGCTTATGCACTAGTTCGGGGTGGTTCAAGCACACCGAACCTCCTCGAACATTCCCGAACCACATCATTACAGGGTGTGTAGAGTTGTCACATGAGTTCGGGGTGTACCGAACCTTCTCTATCTACATCGTTATAGGGTAAACAAGGTGTGCAGGTTGCTTATGGACTTTTCCTCGTTTTGGTCTGCTGTTGACCCCGATGAATCTGTCTTCTGTGTGTGTGTGTATGTAGACTGTGTATATCCAATATACCACTTGAGGCCATAGTCAAACACTTACATCATCTGGAAGTTCACCTACAATCTGTGTACGTGTGTGCATGTATAGACTCGTTTCTTGGTTAATAGTAACCTCCAATGAAAAGCACTAAAGTGCAAACCCTCGGCGAACTGCGCATGTGCGGTACCACTAATTGATGGGCTGGGTTTTTTATGCCTTTACTCGTGGTATCCCGCTAGTAGCTCGCGGAGAGTCTGGCACGGGCTAGCTACAGTAGTAAATAGCATGCGTGAGTCGATACATGCCCTTCGTTGTGACTTGTTGTGCCTTCAAGACACACAGAGTGAACGGACGCGGTCGAGGTAAGCCTGTGCTAATTTACATATTGGCTTGTTCACTTGGTTTTCACGCCATAACTTTAAAAACACAGTAGT